TATATTTGCGAATTGGGAATGAGGATTTTGAAATTATTGTTCAAATATTACCGATATACCATTTGTAAACAATGTACGTTTTTATATACAGTACTGTACGGGCTAATAATATATGTATCGGTTTTATTTAATAAATTATAATTGTATATGTGTTTGTATATTTTACAAACACAAGACTGCTTCTTGCCAAAATTGAGAAAATATATATTAATGTAGTTGTGTATAAGACAAAATTTCATGAAAGATTCTACTTTTGGTATATATTTTGAGGCATGTAGTAAAACACTGACTACCGGAACACCGGAACACCACCGGAACACCACCATTTTGTTTGGGGTTAGGGTTTGGGATTAGGGTTAGGATTGGGGGTTAGGGTTGGGGTTAGGGTTAGGATTGGGGGTTGGGGTTAGGGTTAGGATTGGGGGTTAGGGTTAGGTGGTGTTCCGGCGGTGTTCCGGCGGTGTTCCGGCGGTGTTCCGGCGGTGTTCCGGTAGTCAGTGTTTTACTACATGCCTATATTTTGACTCATTTTGTGCTTTTGCTTCACCTTGTCAACATCTTAAATAATAGTGTTGCTTCGAACTTTATGATAAAACGATTTTCTAGACGTGTATACAAATAAAAATAGTTAGTTTATACTATAAATGAGTTTATTTTACCTGTATCGGTTTAAATTCGCCGTTAAGTTGCAAATAATTCTGTTTGAGAACGCAATAATTGGGCATTTCGCAACCAGGGCAGTTTCAGGGCAGTTTTGGCCTTGTTGTTGGGAAATCCACTAGGCCTTCTAGGCTTGCTTCCTCCGCCCCGCCCCCAAATCACCTAGTCCCAGTCTTTTCATGTGAAAAAGCGCTGAATATTAAAAGTATATAAAGAAGACTAGAAGGCCTAGGTCTAGGCTGCCATGGTGGTATTTCCAACAAAAGGATGCCTTTTGAATATGCAAAAATCTGTTTGGAAAGTATTGATGCTATTCAAATAATTCGCTTCATTGAGTCCATCACCATGGTAATCGCTAGTAGTTACCGACAAATGAAGTCTCCATTGTTCACAGTCATTAGGCATACAATTTATTGCAAATTTAACTCTCAAGTTCAAGTTAATACCATCAATGCTCAACAAGCCACTTTCCAATATGCAATTCCAAGGGCTGAATAGCTTCTCGATTTCACTTTTCTTTTGGCAGTAGTTTTTCCCTTTCGCCCTTCGAATATCTAACGTATGCTCGGTATATCCATCTTGAGAAGCCGCTATAGTGAAAACAAAAACAACTAAAGCAAACCATCCTGCATTGAGTTGGGTTCTTTGAGTCATTATATGCCAATATTTAGTCGTCAAACTATTTGCCCATTATCACCGTATTTCGAACACTTTTCAAGATATATTTCAGTCTTTAACTCGCTCTTAAATGGGCGCCAATCACAGTCCATGCCAGTTAAATATGGTGTTCCCCAAGGATCGGTGCTTGGCCCTATTTTGTTCTCTCTCTACTGCAACGACCTGTCAGAAATCTGCGATGATGATGGAGGTGATATCTACATGTATGCCGACAACACCACCATATATATGTAATTGGCCCAACTCATGATTCTGTTGCCACAACACTCAATAGAGTTCTATGTAAGCTACATGAGTGGTGTTGCAATAACTTTTTAACACCACACCCAGACAAAACTGAATTCATGATACTTGGGCGAGGTAAATTTGTGGGGCCATTGCAAGGTATTAAATTAGGAAATACTTACCTCAAACAAGTCGAGTCTTCCAGATGTTTAGGAATTGAAATAGATAGTAAATTAAAGTGGAAAGCTCATGTAACCGAACTAAGTCATTCGCACAAAAAGTTAATCTTTTAAAGTCCCTTTATTTTTTACCAACTAAGGCAAGGGCTGATTTTTACTTTAAAGTTATATTTCCCTCAATCACATATGGGCTCGTAATATGGGGATCATGTGGAAAAACCCTATTTGATGAACTAGAACGTATACACGTACGGGCGGCCAAGGTGATTTACAAGTTGGACCTGCAAACACCAACAGAGGATGTTCTAGCCCAAACAAATTGGAAACCTCTGGAGAAGTTATATTCTCAGAGATTGTCATTTTTAGCACAAAATTGTTATTATGGTTATTCCCCTATTCCACTACAATCATTATTTGCAAAATATGTTAGTAATTATAATCTAAGAAGAAAATTGACTATTGCTTTTCCAAAACCAAAGACTGATTTTCTAAAGAAATCAATTTCGTATCAAGCAGCAGTGTTATGGAATTCCCTAGATAACAATACAAGAGCAATAGAGGACATTAAAAGGTTTAAACTAGTAATTAAGAACCTGTTATCTAAGTGATATAGCATTTGTAAGATATTATTATTGTAGAATAGGATATTATAGTGTAATGTATTGTTATAGTGACAGGAAAATAGAACAGTTTGTGTATAGATATGTTAACTATGTAAATGCACGACCACATCAGCTATGCTGTGAATTTAATCGTGTTGAAATAAATGCTTTGACTTGACTTGACTTGAACTGCCCACTTTCTGTTTGATGTTCGCTGACAATACAAGCCCACATGAGTGGGAGAAATTTTGCTAAATTTGACCAACGTGCATGAGGAAATGAGGTCTTGAGGAAATTAATTAACCCATTAAGCTGCAATGCACCCCACCTATTTTTTTTACTTGGCTAATGCCAGACTATTTTATTCATCAATGGAGAAGCTCTGCAGCTTAATGGTTTAAAGAGTGCAACAAATATTGATTGATTAGATTGGCCTTCTGTACCATTCTTGTAAGACAAAAGAAGTATGATATAAACTAATACAGTATAAACAGTGCTTGGGTTTCTAAATGGAGTTAAATCGCTACATGAAAATTAATTTTGAATGTCTCGACTGAGAACAGCATACATATTTGATGTAATGATTTAAAACCCCCATTTGGACACCCGAGGCTGAGTAATAATAGCCCTTATGCATAATGATGTCACAAGGCTTGATGCCTGCGAGGAATGCTGGTCTTAGTAGTCATTGCCCAGGAAAATTAAACATGTATACAATAAATATGTATACAATAGCTACTTGTTGCACAATGTTATGACAAACTAAAGCATTTGTGCTGGTATTTGTTTAAGTATTTGTTTAATTAACAGAGTCATTTTTCAACTTGGGAAGACATCTTCAAGTCCTTTCTAAGTGCTTTGGTTTTTGTTTGTTTTTCTTTTCTTTTCTTTTATACTTTGCAATGTAATCTTTTGCATATGAAAAAGACCTAACTTTTAAATATAGTTTGATCACATTTTCCAAGCACAACTTTTGAGTTGGGGACGAAGTCTCAACGCCAGATGACAAAACAATGTTCTCCCATAAAGACTTCACAGCAGGCGACTCGAGCAAAGAATTGCAAATAACTTCTGTGGGAATATTTCTTAATATTTCCTTGGATTTACTGACTTCACATCTAAACGACACCTCTGTGACTTTCAGAATATTTATCAAATCATTACAGGGCGAGATAAGTCCACCTCTGCTTCGAGCGGCAATGAAGTGATTTGCTGTTCATAAGTCTATTTCATAACTTCAAGCAAGGTTCGAATTTCCTCATTAGTCTGCATTTTTTAATTGTATTTGTACGATAAAGTTTGCTTATAATATATCCTGCGATATATGACAATGGTCCGGTCTCAGCTTGATCGAGTGCAGGAGGAGTATCTTCTTTTACTTGTGTTTGCCCAATGTTTGACGTATTGAAGAAGCCAACCAAGAAATCAGGCAGTTGAATCATTATCAAGTTCGTTATTTTATAGTCGTCGCATTTTAAAAACTTGCACGATCGAGGAATTAGACCATAAAAAGACTCGAGCAATTTGTCTTGATTTTTCTTCCGACAAAATGTTTCATACAACGGCAAAAGAGCTTCAAACAATGCCTTGGTTGGCTTCACAGCGGCCAAAGCGGTGTTTGTCTCACTATTGTAAATATCTTCCTTTATAATTCGAGCTTTAATTGCCTCAACAAAACCATCAACTGTGTTTCTTTGTCTAGGTTGCCAAGGTTCATAGTCGCACGTTTGTTTGGTTTGCCATGTTTCGAATTTGTGTGTCTTGTCAGACCACCTTTCGACTTGCACACTTTATCGCATTTGTCGCATTCGAATGATTTCTTCCCCTCGATTTCTGAAACAGCTTCGTTAAATTCATTGTCAATTTCTGTTGTATCTGTTTCAGCTACAGTTATGCTAAAAAATAGGTTGAAACGATCATCAACATCTTGTTCGTCATCTTCGGCTTCGAGGGGTCCTTCGACATCTATGTTTTCGCTCTCAATATCACTAATTTTGCTTCAAAAACCACCTTTTGCTTCCCGACAGATTCGCCACACAATAATATATATAAATCCGTCAAATTAGCTTCCTTAGACAACACGAAATATGATATTTTGATGAGAAATTTGACCCGCTCCTATACAAAAGTATACAATGTGTTTACACAGCGTACCGCTTCATGGACACATGACTTTTTAATCCTTTGATCACCAACATAATTCGCCGCCTTCTTTGAAGTATGCCGGCTAGCCTAACCATCTTAAGCCCGCCGCACACAAGAGCTCTTGGCTGAGCTCACAACCTTGCGAGGCGACTACCTCACTGCTTTGCGTCAACAAGATTGGTCGCACACATTGAGAAAGGTGCTGAGCTTTTAGCTGAGCTGACAATTGAATTTCGCGGCAAATTCAAGATGGCAGCAAGTATAAATCTTCACCACATTGGTTATCTTTTCATTTTACTGATGCGCCGTCGCCGCATGAGAGCCGCATGTCGAACAATTTGGAGTAGAACTTGGATACAGAGACGCCAAAGGCGCGGTGTATTTGTCAACCTCCTTCGAGAACTCGAAGAAGAAAATCCTGAAAAATTTCGACAATACCATCGCTTTGACATAAATTCTTTTAGAAAAATTTTAAGGATGGTGGAACCATATATTAAAAAGAAAGACAGTAATGCGAGTAAGTATCAGTCCTGGAGAAAGATTGTCGGTTACTCTACGATTCCTTGCAACAGGTGAGCCAAAATACAAAACAAAGCGTTATTGCCCGTTTTGGATTATATACAAAAAATTGGCAATGTCAATGAGTAATATTTTTTTTAGAAGAGTCGTTCCGAAGTGAGACATGTCAAGCTTTGTATGAAGCAATGAAACAGCAATATCTAAAAGTAGGTGGTCACAATCATTGCATATAACTAAATGTGTAAGACAACAAACTAGAACTTTATAATATTAAAATAACAAGAACTTACTAGATTGCTAGAATTAAAACTTTATAATATCTTTATAAAAACAACTGGAACTTTATCACATAACTAATCAGACCTTCATAATATATTTACTGGAAGTCTAGAACTGTATCATGCATATAAGTATAACTATTAAATAGCACTGTATATTAAAATATCAACAATTCATCTTGTTAAATGAACAAAAACACAGTCACAGGAAAAGTGTCAGGAATTAAGTATGTTTTCATCATGGTTGAACCAAGGAGAGAACTGCTGTATTTGACGGCTACTTTGCTGTTTGGCACCAGACATTTGCATTTGCCCCTGCCCCAACATTCCCATTTGGGCCTGAAACAAAATATTATTTATATGATACTGCACAATGTGCTGCATTGTAGGGTCTAGCTTTTTCATAGACTCTATTACAAAATTTCCAAAGGCTTCAGACTCTCCTCCTTCAGGTTTAGCCTTTTTCTTTTCCTTATTATTTTGAGCAATCGAAGAGGCCAATCCCTTCATGACTTCAAGTTCTTCCTCTTGTAGTTTCTTTTTCATGGATTTAGGTCTTGATTTTAGAGGTAGCTTTGTTGACCTAGGTGTGGTTGTATCATTTACATCGTCAAGCAAATTATCATCATCACCATCTGGATCAAGATCTGCCAAAATGTCACCACTCTCATCATTATCACTGTCAGCTACATCAGTCGGTGTTATAGGATCTGCCTAATAAAGAATTAAAATGCAGCTTATTGAATAAATAGTTTCTAAAAATACATTAATACAATTTGAAACAACTTTGATATACTTTTGCCAAAAATAAAGAACTTGAGATTTACTAATTAGGTCTACAGTCAAAACTTTATTTCTCAAATGTGTATGGTGAGGTATCATACATATACAGATTATCTAACAAGACTGGCAAAAGCAGGCCCTCTGAGCACTCGTAGGGTATTTTGCCCTAAGCCCCCCCCCCCCCTCCTGGGCTTCTTGTCAGCCTTGTTATCTAGTTACAGCTAATCTTGCACACAACATGAAGTGCTATGATTTATTTTTTTTGCCAGATAAAAGAAGACCTAAAGCAAATATCAAACTATTTTAATAGGCCCCATCAACAGAAGAAGAGTGGCTAAAAATTGCTGATGAGTTCCAAGCACAGTGGAATTATCTCTGTTGTATTGGGGCATTAGATGGAAAGCACATAGCAATTCAACAACCTGCAGATAGCAGTTCAGAATTTTTTAATTATAAACACTTCTTTAGTGTCCTTCTTCTTGCCCTGGTCGATGCCAACTACAAGTTCTTATATGTGAATGTTGGAGCTACTGGACGGGCACGAGATGCAGGTGTGTTCGCAGATTGTTCTTTAAAGAAAGCTCTGGCAAATAAAACACTAAATCTTCCACCACCAGAAACTATCGAGGGAGTTTCTGAAAAGATTTGTTATCATATTGTAGCCGATGATGCATTTCCTTTAACAAAGAATATAGTGAAACCTTATCCACACAGAAAACTAGATAAACCAAAGCGAATCTTTCATTACCGATTATCAAGAGCAAGAAGAGTGGTTGAAAATGCATTTGGCATCTTGGCAAATCGATTTAGAGTGTTTCTCACAACTATTAACCTCAGACATGAAAAAGTGAATGACATTATTCTTGTAACCTGTTGTCTGCACAATTTTATGGTTGCAAACAACATGAGCAACTACACAAGCTGTCAAGATATTGAAGATACCGATAATCAGCAGTTCACGCCTGGTCAATGGAGAAGAGATACACAATTGTATGGAATACAAACAACATCAGTTAGAAATTCGTCAAAGAGTGCAAAGGAACAGCGAGTACAATTGACAAATTATTTCGTGTCCGAAAATGGCTCTGTTCCATGGCAAGACTACATGTGCAGTCTTTAAACACATGTATTATAAATAAACCTTAATATAAGAAAAACATGTTTATGCAATTATGGTTCATCATGTTTATATCATATGTATTTTAATTAGTTTAAAAACAGGCATACCACTTCCATGTTAGATGTTGTTGGTCTGCTAGCAACATATGCGTCTAAAAATTGAAGTTTATCAAGGATCCAGGATGTTCGTTTTGTTGGGTTTCACCTTGCACTGCCTGACAGCGGTGGTTTTCTTGCTTTTGTAAAGCTGTTTCTCAGTTGTCTAAGTTTACTTTTAACCCAATCGACTGTTGTAAGAAAACATAAGAAATATATTAAATTATGACTATATTTCAATGTGCCGTGATGTATGATATTCCGAAATTATCGAAATGTTCATATCGACTTCGTGTTCAGTATAGTACCGTTTTGAGCAATTTTTCGAGCAATTTCCTCCATGGCTTGTTGTCGGCGATCTCTGTCTTTAAACTCTGCTGACCTCACATCATATAAACAGGGGTAATCCGGCCATATTTCAACTAGTTTCTCCTCTGATAACAGCTCACTAAGTTGCTCGCTTGTGTTTGACGCCATATTGAAGCAGCGATTTCTTCTCATGTGAGGAAACAACAAGTTTTCATTGGCTTATTTTTGCAGACGTGTGTGAATTTTGCCTCGCGAGGTGAAAAATATCAAACACGATAGATATTTTCCTCAAGGCCTCGAGAGGTGAATTCCTCACGAAAATCAACCGCACACAAGAGCTCTTGGCTGAGCTAACAGACTCGCGAGGCTGTTAGCTCAGCCAAGAGCTCTCGTGTGTGGCGGGCTTTAGTCTATTAACCGTGCTTCTTGAAACAACTATTTCCAAACAAGCTTTATTCACATCAAAATATTTATTTATTAAAAAGGGCAATTTTTTCTATGAAAGCCTAGCAATGGATATAGTGAAAACCCTAAACTGTAATAGAGCAATCCCAGACCTAGACTCACTCACAACCAATCTTGTTGAAGCATGTGTTAAAGATACTAAAGAAAGCTACTGGAGATTCTGGAGACACAAACTTGAAAACTCATCCAAACTTACCTTTTACACAAGCATAAACGAAGACTATGAGCTTGAAACCTATTTGACTACCATAACTAACTCAAACCAAAAAAAAGTTCCACATAATTGAAGAAGTTTGGGTTTTAGTTAAACAGCCTATTAACTCAAACTTTCCAAGTTGTGTTTTTTTCCTCGAGTTATGCCCTTGACAAAAATGGGAGTGGTTTGGGCGTGGTTGGGACTTAACTCGAAAAAGGCTTAAAGCGAAATGTTTAACTTGAAGTGCTTAACTTGAAGGGCTTAACTGGAAGATTATCTACCTCACTTCAGATTTCAAATGTTAACAGTTCAAGTTCAATCACATGTTTGTTATGAACTTGGCGACGGAACATGTTGTAGCATATTTATTTGTTTTGTGAGCACTTAATGACTTTGACACAAAGAATACACAATGCTTTGCTGCGATACGGTGTCATTTATGCACAGAATTTTGGGTATCACGAACAGGTTCCAATGGATTCAATGGGAATTCCTATTGGATTTAATGGGAATTCCTTTGGATTTAATGTGGATTTAATGTGGATTTAATGGGAATTCCTTTTGGATTCAATTGTAATTTTTTTGTAATGGTTCAATATAATTATGCATACTTTTCTGTCAGCCAATCGAAATCACTACCATGTGTGCCATCATTGGAATTTCATCCATTTATATAATTCAGATGCTCAACTCCAAAACGTTGTCAACCCTATGTTGGAAACTGTTGAGCTGCTGCCAAAGGAAACTTCCAAATTTCACAATTTGCTACTGTCTTTAAACACAGGCACTTATGTATCATTTTTTCTTTTTCAGAGGAAACATTAGGTCTTCTTGATGAAGAATCAATAAAGGAGATGATTCCTGCACTTGGAACCAGACGGAAGCTCCTAAAAAATCGAAAGACGAAAAGAACAATAGACATGGACTACACCTGTTCAAAATCGTGCATGGAAATGTCAATAACTTACTGTGGCATATTAGAACCCGACACACCATTCTCGTATGATGTAAATTTACCTGCCCAATTGTATGTGGCCAAGACGGTTGTTCACAGACATTTTGCTATTCTGTTGCATTTAAACATCATATTGAGGAGCAGCATAAAATATTAATGAATATGACAGAGGAAATGACAGTGACAGTGGTTTTGACAACAACAATTGCAGATAACAACAATTGCAGATAACATGGATAATAACCCACCTGCCTGATGCATGCAACCTCTTGATGTCATCATGTGTTCAATAAAGAAGTAACTGAACTACCAGCAACAATAGCTAAAATGAAGGCATCAAGTAGCGTAGTTCAGTCAACAATTGACAATGTTGTTTGCGAGAGTTCAGATTTGTTTTTGCATATTGTTATGTCTTCCGAGAATCTCTTAGAGAATAGAGGAATACCCGTGAACGATCCAGAAAGGAAAAATCTCCTTGAAACCTTCAGCAAATTTCAACATCCTTTCGAAAATTTGGAAAAGGCATAAAAAGAGGGAAAGAATTTTGTACAAGCTCACAAGGTGCCATTTGCAGTTGCTTACTATCAGTGCAAGAATGCAGATACTGGGCACGTGAATAAAGTAGCTAAGCATGTTATGTTCCAATATATATCACTAAAACAGTTGCTGAAGAACATGTTGGAAGTAATGGGATTCATGAGCGCGGTAGTAGAATATATACCTAGTTGTGATGAAGTAATGAGAGATCTCCATGATGGAGAATTCTGTTGAGGACATGTATTCTTTTCATAAAATAGGTCTCATTTATTGCACAATCTTGAACTTGCCACCAAAGTTCCGTTCCTCATTGTCTAACTGCTATTTGGTGGCAGTGTACAATTATGGTGATGTCAAAACTTATGGATTTAATCCAATATATTACAACCACTCATTGATGACATCAAAGATTTAGAAATGAGTGGGCTTCAAATAAATACAGATGTTTATGAAGGCACAGTTAAAATTGGAATTGCTGAAGTTACAGGGGATAACTTGGCCTTGAATGGTATCTGTGGTTTCATAGAAAGTTTTATAAGACATCAATTAAGTAGGAACTGTAAAATGCACATTGATGAAATGCGCCGTGCGACAACATCAAATGCCCAGTTGTCTCGTAGTTATGTCAACTACTGTGACGATTTAGATCTGAACAATCCTATGTCAACCGGGATTAACGATCCTTGTCTTCTCAACAATGTGGAGCATGTTCATGTCTCAACTAACTATGTTCCAGACATTATGCATGATTTATTGGAAGGAGTTTGAGGTTTGGAAGTGCAAAGACTTGATTCAAGCTGGGTTCATCAATTGTGACTTGCTGAATAGCAGAATCACCAACTTCAACTATTCACCTCCCGGTGGTGCATCAGGACAAACTGCATCACAGATGTGGTGTCTAATTAGGTATTTGCCACTAATAATTGGCGATCTTGTTCTAGAGAACAATGAGCATTTAGAACTAATTCTTGTCCTTCTTGAATGTATGGACTTCATCTTCTGTCCAGGATTACTGTTGGTGAAACTTTCTTTCTCAAACAAGTGATTAAAGATCATCACAATTACTTTTTAGCCACATAACAAGATAACAAGACCGAAATTTAAAGCCAAAACATCATTTTATGACCCACTATCCATAGCAAATACATCATCTTCGCCCACTAACCAATTACTGGACAATGCGGTTTGAAGCGAAACACAGGTTTTTTAAACGTCTTGGCCACATTGTCTGCAATTACCGAAAAATTCTGAATACATTAGCTGAGTGCCAGCAGATGTTTATCTGTTACAATTTAATGTGTGGAAAGGATCTTGCAGAGAAAGATGTTGAGATCGGGACCAGGTTCACCTACCCTTGTTGTTTCCTTTGAAATACTGTTGTCTCTAAGTGCATTACTTCGTTTTTCATCTATTTAGCGATATTTATCTATCAAATATTGCAAGAACTTTCTTGTTCTTACTGGAAAGTCAGACCATTCCCTTCCCATATTTCAGAGAATTGTGTACGTTGTTTGTGAAAGAACTGATGTAACCTAGTAACAGAACTTCTGTTACCTAGTAACAGAACTCTGGGATACTATTAATATATGCTGACTTGAATAATTAATATTTGGACCATGTTATCATATTGTGATATGCTAATCATTATATTAATTAATTTATGCATTATTCCAAGGTTTCAAATGGCACTTGGTTCAACGTCAATTATCAGAAATGCAATGCAATGCAACAAAGTTATTTTGTAAAGATGCGAAGGAAGTTGCAAAAGGATAAGGAATATTCCTTAGACACTCCTATCAATTAAAAAACTATGCAGAAAAGGACAAACCGTGTAAAATCTTGCCACATCTTGGTTCGGTAGCTAATGGGCGAAGCTCATTTCAATGTGTGGTATTTGTAGCAAACATTGGAAGGAGATAGACAAGGGGCTGCTGTTATTATTGAGTGTTGTTTTTATAAAAAAAGTATGTATTTAATTGTTGTCTGTTGATTATAAGACGTTTTTATAATTCAATTATGAAAACACACTAGTATATAGTTTAGTGCACTTTAAGTTAATCGCTAGTTTATTTCAATTATTATTATTACAATTATTTAATAGTTCCACAGAAAGAAACATTGGCTAATGTGTTTGAAAGGACCAAAGAGTGTTATCATCTGTGAATAATACTTCATGTCCTCACAACTAGTATTTATCCACTCCTTAAATTTAGACAGTAGGATTGCATCATGATACCAAATTGTCTGCTTACAATGTCTTAGTTCATTGTCTTAATGAATCAGACTGTTTGAATCCTAAGACAGCAGCAATTCCAAAAGCAGCTCCTCTATCAAGCACGGCTTCCTAGATTCTTTCCAGGGTTTGATCTTGGAATTTTCTCTTACCAAAACTTTTGGCATTTATTTTCCATCTTGAGAAGACCTCATGCAAAATATGTATGAATCCACCAGGTGCCATGACTTTCTTGCATACCTCTCGTAAAGGTAGCTTTTTGCATGCATTATCACCAGGGACTTCTGAACACCAACCATATGTTTTCTCCGACCGTCCTCTAACATCACACATAACCTTGATGGAGCCTTGATTACCGACAAATAATGTCACACATGAGTAATTTTTTCCTGAATATGTGTATGCTTTCCTCATTTGTAGTTGGATCTTGAACTTCATATTCATGGGTATATCCTTTTCTTTTTTCTCTCATATCTCAATATTATGCCATATGTCCACATCAGTGGCCATATCCTGTTTGGAAATTATGCATTATACTCAGGACTCCATTTCCATTTTTACTGCCATATCTCGAGGGTTAGGAATGGTATAGCCTGCGTTGCCGGCGTTTTGGGGATGGAACGCCTGCTGTAAGGGCCTATCTGTTTTCGTTTCTACGGCCGCGAAATTCTGATTGGCCGAATTTATGTTAACGACAGGTTGATTGACATGTTACGCTAATTTATTCAAATATTTAAAAATAAATACAGTAAAAACAAACGGCATCGCTATATTAAAGTTGTAAACCTGTCGGCTAAAATATAGAATTCAAAAGACAAAGTGTAAAATCTATAATAGGCTAAATGTATAACATATACCGGTATCTAAACAGAATAAGGCAAGCCATATACTGCTATTACTTCATATGTCGCATGATTTTACCGTATGGTCACTATAGTATAGAGTATAAAACCTTGGCTGTCCTTGCCTTGTTTATATTTTGCTGGCTGGCAAATTTAATACGATTATACAAAATAATACATTGATTTCCCCATTGTGTTTAATACACCATAATAATACGAAGCTCTCTTTGGAGCTTTTAAAATACATTTGCCTGCCAACGTGTATAACACGGGAAGGGGTCTATTTACTTTTCCTAAGTCATTTATTTTATTTAATACTGCAATATTTATAACTGTAGTACAGCCATACAGGTGCAAAGCATAAATAATATAATTTTGAACGGTCTTCGTCTACTACTAATTTCCAGACAAAGTCGAAGGGCCTTCGCTCGAAAAGCTGACGTTTTGCTTGTATTTCCAGGCAGTTGAATCGCTATCCATCTATTGTAAAAAGTTTAGTGAAAGCATGTAGCGCTAGTCTCCTACGCAGCCTGTTCGGGGCTATAGTAAACATGCAACAATTGACATTTCAAATCATCATTTATACAAAACTATTTTGAGTGGGCGGTGTTAATATGGAATATTAACTAGTAGGCGGTATCAATTTTACTAGGCCTTTACGGCAGGCGTTCCATCCTCAAAATGCAGGCTAGGAATGGTATTGAAGAATCGATGGTCAAATACAGCAAAGTTCGCCAAGAGATAACTTATTTTCTCATTCCTCTTTATGACAGCAATGCAGGGGCGCGGATCTAGGGGTCATCAAATCAGTCGCGCGACTGAAGTAAAAATTGCCTACTTAAAAAAAAATTGACTCCAGCTATCTATAGTGGCCAGTAGATCGAGTCACTAAAATTTTGAATCGTACCTGTAGCCCAGTTATATGTTTCATGCTGCGGCAAAGTAATGTTAGTCAGTCACAAACAGCAGTCTTACGCACGAAAGTTGACAGATTCGGGGGTTAAATCTGGCTATCTGATTGGCTGACATGCTCATTTCCATGGTTACAGCCATTTGCGATGGATCTGTGGGGAGGCCTAACAGATTTGCAGATTCAGGGGCTCTGTATGAGCCTTCTGATTGAAGGCTTATATTTCCGACGGATTCGCAGCATGTGGGTGTTTGTCAACACAGCATTAGTGTTTACCTCTGAGTGTTTACTATTTTGAAAGTCTATCTGAGAAGTTTACTATTTTTACGAGCAATTTCTACCAGCGATAACTGGAAACATTTTCGACAATGGTCAGTTTGTGATTGCGGCAAACGATTTGGAATCTCTACAACGTTTGTATACAGAGCTTAAAAAGAATATCGATGCCTCACGGACAAATTTTGTTGACAAGCTACTGGTGGGGCCATCAACAACACAAGCAGAAGCCTCGCTAGAAATTTTGGTGCAGAAAGCTACTGCTAGAGAAAGACAAAGCTTGCACTGCAATAAGGTAGATAAATTTATGGTTCTATAGTGAAGTATCTTTAGTTTATATTAAACCGGAGTACCAAGCCATCTGTGTTGTTAATGATTGTCTGACTGACTGACATATGATATTTTAATATATTTGCTATGCTGTATTGCTGTATTAGCATAATGCTCACGTCAAGAAGTTAAAATATGTTAATATACAATGTCCACATTGTGAGCATTTGTTGATTCTCATGTTAGTGAAGTTTCATTTAAAATTTCTTTATATTTATGCATTAATCACACAACATGTACGCATTAACTTCAGAGTATTGTTTATCCATAGCTTATCGACATGGCTTGTTAGACCGCATTGTTCTGGTGTAACATCATGATGTGAAATATATAATTAGGTAGCTTGAAAAGCTACCTAATTAATATTTGACTTAACACCTTGGGACTGTGTTTTTGGTAACAGAATAACATATTTCCTTAATGCATTTGCTGCCATATGATTTTAGAAGTTTTACAATGATACACTTATTAAGTATATAATACCAAATGACGACGATTCATTAATCCACAGGCCAACACGTAAAAATTGCTGCTGAGTTTTAAAGTATTATATAATTGTAACATATCTATAAAATTTTGTATTGAAATAGGATCACTATATCTTTGTGCATTTGTAGTTTTTCTTACAGTGGATAAGAATCAAATGTTCTCGTTTGAGTTTATGAATTTAATCTAAATATGTTTTATAATTTCGTTAATTAGGTTTTAGGTTAAAGGGGGGGGGGAAACGCATCTTACATACAGAAAATTCTAAAAATCCAGTGGAAGACTATCAGCATAAAAATTATTTAGCGCCCCCTCCCCCCGCCTGGAGTCGACCACGCCCATTCGAGACCACGCCCAGCCCTGACAACGCCCCGTCTGCCAAAAAAATTTTGACTGTCAGGTACAAAAAATCCTAGATCCGCCCCTCCAGCAATGGTGAGCGATGTTGCACCACACATTTCCTTTGCATTTATGTCTACTCCCATTGAAATAAGGGTTTTGACTAATGGCATATTCTCATGTTCAACAGCTGCATGAAGAAGGGTTTGTTTATGATGGTCTGTAACATGTTTCCAATTGTCTATGTACAAATCTTGATTGATGTGCCTCCCACATTTTCTTCATGATATTGTTATACATCTGTTTGAATTTGCATCAACCTGTTGTTGGTTGGAAGATGCATTTCCTGCAGATAATTCTGTGTCTGAATCATCCAGAAGAGGTTCAAACACCTTTTGAACTTCATTCAACTGACACACAGTGTCTGCCATGTCCTTCTTATGCTCCCTCAATGATGCAGGAAATTGGAGATGACTTTGCATAGCTGCAATATCAAAGGTCTTGCTGTTATCATCATATGGCATGTATTCCTTAGCATGATCACATGGCTCATCAAATTCCTTTCCAAACTGCTCAATTATGGCTGCAGTTCCAGTAGTAGTCACATTATTCTCAAGAGAGTGGAAGGATTAATGTTTCCGACTTGGAGCAGTGTGCATCGAGTTGTATGCTTGCCTTTGGCATTTTAATGTCAAAGGTTTGTTTCTTGGTTGTTGAGAAATCCTGATTCTTCAACCACAGGTCAAACTCTTTCTCATTCATGCTGTAAAACTTGGTAGGATTTCGAATGCTACAAATTAATGTTAACATTTGTACCTACATTGCATTGCTACCTGTTTAATTAAAAAATCCATATTTTCTATGTAAACCTCCCGAAAATTTGATTATTTTGATCGCTAATTTAGGAACATTTTAATTTAGAATTGACCTATGAAAGTGTCATTAGCAGTTAGGCCATCACAAGGGCACTGCTGTTCCTCTGCTGTTTCTTTGCTTGCAAACAAGTTTTCAATTTCAGACAAATCAGAAATCAGCAAACCATGATAAAATGGTAAAATTGCACATATTTTGCCCAGGGTTTTGAAAAGGTGATGATGGCTTCTATTTCCATGGTATAAATTGATGTTATCAAGCAATAAAATTACTGGTTTCGATACTGGGACACATCTATCAGATCGTGAAATTGGCTCAACCTCTTGTCCAAATAAGATATGATATAATTAAAATATGAAACTACACTATCAATATGGACAAGCAAATGTAAAAAATTCTTCACTCCCCCAGGTTTTACAAGTGTCTACAAAGGCTGCCTGCATGACAATTTTCAAATCATTTTTTTTCTAATTCAGAACAAATGGTTACTATACCACTTAATTAAACAATTAGTTGATATAATTAAAAATAGGTTACTCATATTTTAACTTGGAATGATCACAGACAAGCAGCTACTCTTTCAAAAGCTCAACCAGGCTAAACATTCTTTGATTTGAAAAGCAAAGTGATTTTTAGTTACCTAGTCTGTTGAAACCGACAGAATTGTTTGATTTATTTACTTTCCACAATCAACATTGGCAATTAAAATTCAATTTGACACTTTTCCAGTATGCATTCTTCATGAACATTATAGAGGTTCAGATTTGACTACCATTACCATTAAGGGACCATCAACCAATCAAATGCATGTGATATATTTGATTAACCAATTAGATGCATACTAAGCCAGGTAGTGGTAGCACTGCTGTCAATATCCTCATCTGTACTCTGAGAGCATTGACCATTGTATTCTTGCTCAGATTGTCCGATGGGGCTGTTTTCCATAGATATTTTAACAGACTCGTCATTTTTAGACACCTGCTCGTCGACATCTTTCACTTTTAAACGACTCATAAGTTTGTCCACAGTCTCAATATCTTCGTTGAGTTCGGAAATCTTCTTCCGACGTATATCTTCTGGTGCGCACCCCCCCCCCCAAACGTTTTCCCGCCCCATGTAGAGAAATTTGCACCCCCCCAAAAAAAATTAAATGCTCATTGGGGTAAATGACAGTAGTGTGATTGAAATAAAGATTATGAACTAATAAGACTAAACACAAGGATTTTGAACTAAATAAGACCAAAAATCTCAAAATTTCCTGGGAGCTTCGCCCCCCTTAATACCCCCATTGGGAACTGTGCCTCCAGACCCAGTTGCACTTTCTCGGCGGCGCTACCCACACTGTCGCTCACCTCCCCCCCCCTAAATTTTTGGCACCCCCCTAAATTTTTGGCACACCTCCAGAGCAAAATCTGAAAATTCGTCTATGGGAAATACATCTACATTGGTACATGTATATTTTAAACAAATCTTCGGATATTTCCCATGAATGCCTTTGTTAACAAACTATTCATGCTACTAGATTTCAACATGTGCTTCTGCACAAAACCAGCACACACAGACACACACATTTCAACTCTGCCTGAAATGTCAACATGTATACTGCTTATACGGTAAGTATTAAATAAATGTTGAAATATAAGCATATGAACAGACTATACCTGAACTGCAGGACCAAGTTTGTTAATGTTAACACTGCCCTGTGTGATGGATGCTTACTCCAGTGTCATTTATATTAATCAGAGATGACTGTATAAAAAATTGAAAGATACAGTAACATATTGAGCCGTCGTTATTTTTTGCAAGATAAGACATTTTACAATCTGAGATGAATTTTCAACATAATTGATAAACAATATATATATATTAACACAGTTGGGATTTAATAATGACCTTTCGTTTTTGTTGTGACATTACTTCTGTTTCTTCATCAGTATTTGCTAGCTAATAAGAAGGAAATCATGGCGATGTTAGAATAAAAATAATATATAAGAATACACCAACATGAACAAGAACTGTATCATTAATAAATCTATCTACAGATTAAAATAGCAAGTGTGCATGTCTTTTAATACCTTTCTTTTGCTGATGTTAATGTCTTTGTGCTTTCCCTGGTTAATATAAGGCCAATAATTAATAATTATTACTTTTCACAGACACTTTGCAGAATATATATTTACAAGGCTTTTAGTTATTAAAACCTATTGTTATACTGATGATTCAGCATCCATTTATTAAAAAAATTATCAGAAACGTATTAATAGGTTAGCTCAACTGTGAATACTGACAAATTCTGAGGTAATGTCAAGAAATATTAAAGGTTGTAAGCTGTCACTTGTGGAACATATTGGTTTGGTATGTAGTGATTCATGTACCATTCAAAGGTTTTCAGTTAACTGATTTTATAATTTATCCCCCAGGAATAAAATTCCTCTCTAGTGGTCATTATAAATCAGCAAGAATAATTTAATGGTAAATTTTCTTATGTTTGCTTATATATAATTACCCACATGAATCAGCTAAAGTTGTATGTTTAATACCTGTGCTCGAATGTGGCTCAAAACAGCCAGTATGTCACCAATGATTGTTATCCCCATTTCCTGTAAAATTGGTTTGGTTATCTCTGAGAGATGCTGTTCTTGTATTCTTGGAAATGTAAAATACTAAAATTAAAACAAAAATTGGAATAAAAACTGAGAAAACTTGCATATTTATTTAGCGACCGTTCATTTTTTATCAGGGGGGGTAGGCTCAGGCCTTAAAATATATTTTACAGGGCCGTCTGACAAAATGTCCGGTGACGTTGAGTTTGGGTCGGACATATGTCTGATGACCTTCAGTTCAGTTTTGACTCGGAAATAAGTCCGAATGACACAAATGAATAAATGGTAAATGTTGTAAAGATATTAAATAATTTGTTTCTTTCATACTTATTTCCAAGCCAAAATTAACTTGCTTGCCAGAACAGCAGTATTAAAAAAGACTTCGACAACTTAAGCCCGTCGTTTTCCACTTCACCATTTCGCTCGCCGCCCCGCACTCGACTACGTTAAAACATTTCCAGTTTACTTTTTATACAATGGTACTCTGATTTTCCATTTAACATACAAGCCTCTAGTCCTGGGCTAGGGTACATATTGATTTACGTCAGACAAAGCTACAGTTCGGTCGGACACAAATACACTCGGGTCGGACAAACAATAAACCTCAGTCTCACTTAGGTCGGACAGAATGTCCGGTGGTTTCCTTTCTACGTCGGACAATTTCACGAATGGGTCGGACAATGTCCGTGACCAACCGATATTTTAAGGCCTGTGCCTACAATCATAGACAAATTTACTCGGACAAACATGGCAAATAATTTTTTTTTGCAACATTTTCATATATACTTCGTAAAGTTGGTCCCCCCTCCCCTGAAACAATGTTGATGAACACTTCAGTCATCATGGCAAGTATTGCGGTATTTGTACCAGCAACATTGTAACGGGGGAGCGGGGAATACGGCTGGATATGCGTATAAATATTTGATTGCCTTAAACTTCAGCCACTTTTAATCAGCGTCCGCGTGTTATTTGTCTAGGATTGTCTGAAAAACTATCGGTTGTATAAAGCATGAATTATTGTACAATTTTAGCCCATTGTCACATTTTATAAATACTGAAGTTCTATAAACACATGAATAAGATATTATATTAAAAATATTAAAAATTTATGTTAAAATATGCAGAACATTTTGATAATTACAGTTAGTTGATTAGATTGTTGGCGTCATATGATTAACGTAATGTGCGTATAAATCGCGACATGGCGAGAAAAGTATGCGCGGAGACAAGAGCTTTAGCTCGTTTTCATAGAGAATATACAGGTCTGAGTTATCGACAAATAGCCGTTCGATGTGGAATATCAAAATCAACAGCGCACACAATATGTCGGAAGCAAATTAACCGTGTCAGTACATGCATCCGCAAGCCGAAAGGTCGTCCAAAATCTTTAAACAAAAGGGATGAAAGACTTCTACTTAGAGTTTTAAAGTATTACAGAAGAGAATACGTTAACTTCTCAGTAAAAGATCTAATGGTAGAATGTGGATTTGACTCACAGAGAGTGCATCAAAGAACAGTTTCCAGATACCTTAACCGAAACGGCTTCTACATGAGGCAAGCAAGGAAGAAGGGACTTTTAAATGACAAAGATAAACGACTCAGACTTTCCTACGCGCGTGAAATGACAAGAGTTTTACGTGACCACCCGGATTACTACACTAATCACGTGGCTTTCTATCTGGACGCAGTATCGTTTGTACACAAGAACGACCCTCGTAAGGCAGCAATTCAACCGAAATCGCGAGTGTGGAGAAAGAAAGGGGAAGGGCTTGCCGTCACTGCGAAAGGCAGCAAAACTCTGGCAGGTGGGAGACGCCTTCATGTTCTTGCAGCCATCGCTTGGGGCAAGGGTATCATCCTCAGCAAGGTCTACGATAAAATGAACGGTGATTTTTTCGCAGAATTTGTCCAAAATAACTTTAATTTGTGTTTTGGAAAAGCAGGACCTAAAACCGGAAGAAAGAGATTGTTTGTTATGGACAATGATCCTTGCCAAACAAGCAAAAAAGCCATGTTAGCTTTAACGCAGATTGAGTGCAATCTTCATCGCATTCCACCGCGTTCTCCAGATATTAATCCTATCGAGAACGTGTTTCATTTGGTGAAAAAAATACTGCACAGGGAAGCGATAGAAAAGAATATCACTAAAGAATCCTTTGATGCATTTAAGACGCGTGTCCTGCGTTGTCTCAACACATTTAAAATCACGACCATTGACAAAACAATTGGGAGCATGCCAAAACGAATTGAGGAAATTAGATCCTCAAGAGGGAAAAGATCGAAATACTGACTAAAAACAGTAACTTTCAACTATATTAACAATTAGTATCATATTATTTACTGTTATACGGATAATACACAGTAGTCAAAATATTTTACACACACTATATATATAGCCTGTAATGTATACATGCTTAATAAGCATAGTGAGCATATTCTGATAATACTCTTAATGTGTAAATTTTTAGCACAAAATTGAAGAATTAAATCTTTATCATAATCTGCTTGTTATATCTGTGGCCGTATTGGTTATAATGGAGGTTACGCGCTAACTTACACGGTAAACGAAATATTTTGCTTTTCGGACTTCTCGGCGGACGGTAAACACACGCCATGAAATTTAACCTGTCACTGCCACACTTGCCAATAAATTTCTATTTCACATGCTTTCTTATAGCCAAATGATCTACATTGTACTTATGATAATACACAGTAAATATTTGGAATAAACAGCAAAATATCACGGTAAACATCGGAGGACTCCCATTATAAATATAATTACTCAATGATTCTTAATTATTCTGCAACTATCGCTTTTCAATGTTTACCGTGGGCATTTTAAATATAAGCGTTTAGAATTAATATGTTTCATAATACTATAATCGCATACAGTTTTTACACAACTACATATAAAATAATTCTCACAAGCTTCTTTCTATCATGCGTTAAAAGGTTAAGAGATAGACAAACGCTACGGTAAACATTACGCAATTCAACACGGTAAACAAAATATGCAACAAATATCAATGCTTATTACTATACATAATATGATTATAAGAATTATTTTATAATCACAAAACGGTAAAATACTGTCAAATGAATATGTTTGTTTTTGTCTCTGACTTTATTTACAATTGAAGCACTAATGTTGCGAAACATCTTGGGCATGGCAGGATATCTTGCCGCTGCTGTTCTAAAGGTATCGCATAATTAAGGCAGAAAACCTTCCACCTAACACCCATCATGTCGGTCTCACGGTCATCGACTATGCCATTCTTGATGAAAATCAATGGTCGCTTGCTCGTACAAAAGATAGGAGTGTCTTTCGTGAACTCGATATCTTGCGTAAAATGGGTTTTCGGAGCTGGTAGGTGAACAACTTCCCCCTCTAACATCAACAACAAATCGTGCCACGGTATAACTTGGGGGCTCCAGCGAAAATCATTAAGAAATATGCACTCGGCATCTTGTATTCCGACCCACGCAAAACTTCCAGTTGCTGGATTGCAGAACGTATGGTACACGACCTTTAGTGGCTTAAGGAGAAAGGTCTTTCCGCAATTAGCTGGGCCAACAATCATTACATTATGATGTTTTTTGCGACCATTAGTTAGGCTTTCTCGTACTGAATTAGCAAAACAAGATATATCTATGCCATTGTTCTGCAAAACCTCTTTCGCACACTGCAGCCAATCACCATTGCATCCAGAAACACAATCTGAGTTTGAAGCTTCTTGAAGGAGATCCATGCGACTCTTCTTAGATCGTGCAATCTTTTCTCGCGCCCCTTTCATCTGCCATGTCGTGCTAAGTATGTCTGCTAGCGTTTTAGGTGACCTATTTAAAATAAACTCAACAAGATCTATCTTTCCCCGTTCCCGCTGTTCTTGTGCAAGTGCGTGAAGTTCCGTTTCTGTCTTGATGTTCTTGCTCAAAATTAAATTTGACACATCTAATGGCGTTAGA